AGAAAAAATTTTTTGGGCAAAAACAATATTTAATTTTTAATAAATCTTAATTAAAGAATTTCAAATCTTAAATAAAATTTAACACCTGCTGTTTCCTAAAAGTAAAAATTTAATAAATTTTTATTTTAATATTATAAAATTATCTTAAAATTTTATCTTGCATATTATAATTAATTAATAAAAGAAATAAAATATCAGAATCTTTAATAGTAATCAATTCTACCATATAGCATTATAATATTATACAAAGTTGCATATAACATTTATGAAAACGGTCTAAAAACGACATAAATTTTACAAAGTTAAGTTTTGGTTATTCAAAACAAGGGCTTTTAAGTTCATTTAACTCGAATATTTTCAACAGAAATTTTCAATCCAATAAAATAAAATTCCAATTCTTGCTTTCAATATTGCATTCTGTAATGTTGTGACAATAATGTTATAACAACATGTTTCATTACAGGAATTATTTGTCAGGATTATTTGTCATATAAAGTCGTAATGTGACCAATATAATGGGAATTTTATACTTCCAAAAAAACTATTGCCCCATAAATATAGTTATGTATATATATATATATATATATCCAAGTATAACGACACTTATAACACTTTTTATTTCAATATAGAAGTTCAATTTTCTTTTCCACTAATTACTTAAATTTCTACGAACAACCTAAAAACATTTCAATTTCTTACGAATGTAAAATGTAAATCAATTTCTTCAAATTAATTTCACGCAATAATTTGCATACTTAACCTGTGCTGATATGCATGAAACAAAAACTGTTAAAATCATGTAAAATTGCAAACAGCCGCTCATCAAATAATACAATAAATCAAATTTCTATAATATGCGCCAAATATAAAATTTCCAAACAAAAAAATTTCACAAAAATATTTCAATGCATGTTAACAAAACAGAAAATCACCTTGTATAGTTAAAAAAAAAAATTATTTAACGCCACCAATTATTATATTGCTTACTTACTACACATAATTTTTCAAAAAAGTTAATGTTCCAAAAATTATGTTCCATTTACTGTTATAATCGCTTTTTAAATGGTATATGCATAAAGCATACATAATTTGCAAAAAAAAAAAAAACATAAGAAATAAATTGCATAAGAAAATATTTTTGAAACTCAATTTTCAATAAAATGTTAAACAAAAAGTTAATTTTTTATGAGCTTCAACGCGATTATATCTTAAAATTATAATTATGGTATTTTTATTACATTTACATCTTACATACAAAGAGAAGTTTTCAATTTCATTCTGGAAAGAAAAACAAAGAGTTTAATGGTTTGCCGCTAAGCAAACAAATCGCCATTATCATTACAAAAGTATATTGAAAATTTTTTATTTGTTTTTGTAATAAATTTTTGCAATAATATTGAAATTGAGAAGCATATTCTTTAAATAGCTTCCCATCTGGTGGTATTATAAGATTTTGAAGTGAAATTCCAATATAACATTATTCTGATGATCGGAATAATACTTACGTTTGAAGAAGATTATCTCAATATTCAAAATTATTTTCATATAATACGAATACATATAAAATTTTAATGAACGAATGACCAGCTTCTTGGGAAAAATGTCATTGACCAGCTTAATATTATTATTAATAAATACACAGTTATTTAGAATATTAATATTCATCTTAATTTTAATTAAATTAAAATTGGACTTTAGTAAATATTTATTTTTTGTTAATTAATGCGGCTTTTTTCGTTTAAAAAAAATTGTACATATTTTTGCATTTAAATAATAATATACTATGTAGGTATGCAAAGGGAAACAAAAAAACCTGAAATTTTTAATGGGTCCGTACTAATTAATTTTTTATATTCATTATAAAAGTTAAAATTATGACATTATTAAAAAAGCTGCCAATTTCAGAATTTCTTTTAATTCTCTCTTCTCCCCATAATGAGATTTTGAAAGACTTAGTTTTTGTTTTTCCTACATATTGAAATTTGAGTTGAGAAAAAAGATTTCACCTGAGTGAAATTTATTTTGCTTTTATACCATACCAATTTAACTATTACAGTAAAAAAATTAAAAATTAGGATATTTTCTCAGGATAAATTTTAAAAAAGTTATTCATTCTTTCTCGGGCTATAATACACGCTACAATTAGTGAATAGCACAAATCAAATTTCTGGTATAATTACCAGAAATCTATTGTAGAATTTCTCTCCTTTTGCTTATTATTTTAGTGTCATGGAGAAATTAATCAGTTTAGCAATTATAATTAATGTGCCAAATGTAGCAGATCCATAAGAGCTACAAAGCATTACCAAAAAAAAAATAAAAATTGTACTTCACAAATGTGAGGTATTTCAGATTCAAAAGTCGTATAATCCTGTAAAACCAATTTTTTATTTCAATATTTTTAACATTAAAATTCTTCTTTAGTAATTATAAAGGTCACATTATTTGTCAAATAAAATTTTATGTCACTATTAAACGCACGACTAATTTTCTCAGGAAAAATTCGATTCATAGTCAATTTGTACTTTTTGGAAATTTTTTTCAAAATCCGTAAACTATAAATGTAAGTTTTGCTCATTAATTTGTTTGTTTTTTGTTGTTTAGTTTTACAAATCATCCTCTAATCATTTACAATCTAGTTAATTTTTTGTTTTGGAAGAAATTCCTTAACATATTACAAATTTTTAAATTGAGCGTCAAATTATTATGAAGAAAAACAATAAACATTACAATATCAATGTTAGAATTACAAAATTTGTGATTTAGGTATAATAATCATCACGTATTAAAACCTAAGACAAATACAGTAGAGTCGCTATTATGCAAACAAAAAAATAAAGAAAGGAAAATTTTTCAAAGAGAATAATTAGATTATTATTTTTCATTCGCAAAATCTTATTGAAGTTAAAAAATCAAATGAGCTTAAAACACAAAATTGTTTTATTTACCTATTTGTAATTAAAAATATTTGTTCCAGAAATTTTGTAAACCCATAATAATTAAACTCATTGAATTTAATTTTGCTCTTCACTTTTGTGTTTAAAAGACTGAATTGAAATTAAGATTTACTTAACTTTACTTATTTGACTTACTAATAATTTATTAACATGTTTGAAATCTTACTAATCAGTAAATTTTGGGTTCAAATTTAATATTTGATGCTCTCTGTAAAACCTTACAAATTCATTTAAATATGAATTTACTGTAATTTTCTTTAAAAAAAATTTCTGAACATACAATAAATTATATAAGAGAGTTAAAGCAATATCAGCGCAATATTCCAATACCACAAAACCCCAAAAAAAAAATTAACAAAAAGATAAAAAGCGAACAGATTTTCTGATCTCATACTTGACATCTTAACCATTTTTCATAACGACCATCCGGTTTTGAACTAACTTTTTTTTTTGTTTATTACTTAAATTGTATTTTGCTATCTTAATAAATTTTAAGAATATTGAGAGTTTTCTATCTCTCCTTCTCTTACTCTCTTATTAATTTGCTTTAAAATTCTTTCCACTTACTCATTCTTTCTAATTTCCAGACATTCTCAAGTTGATTTTTTTTTAAAGCTCTTTTTCTTTTTGTTTTATTGTTATTGTTATTTAATGATAGTTATTTTCGCGAAGATAACATTGACATCATAATTTTTTTTCAATTTATTGTTTTTAAAGTTTTTTTTTTGTCATTCTGATGAATCTATAAAAATTTTCATCAAGATTTCTGAATTAATTAAAAGTTTAAAATTAAATGACTATGAAATAATGGGGGAAAAAAAGCATAAATAATTTCACAGGTATTTGAAATTTTAAAAAATATTTGCCGTAATAATTGAGGGGACAAATGATTTTATGATTTTTTTTCTGCCTCTCACTCAATTAAAAATAAAAAATAAAATTCTTATTTTGTTCGTGTATTTGTAAACATTTTAAAGGTTAATTTCAAATTGAAACCTTTAATTATTTTAATAGCCTATAATAAACGAGTTATTCAAATTACATACTTATTTTTATATTAAACAAAATGTGTTTTTAAAATTTAATTTTAATAATTAGCTATTGTATTTAATTTTAAAGATATTTCAAATTGATGAAATTTTTATTAAAATTCAAAAAAATTAAATCGAAAAAAATAATTCAAAAATTTTGTTTTAAATATCGGACAAATTTGAAAATTTTGCAGCAAAGCACTCAAGAAGAGAATCTTTATAATGAAACCATAAATAAAGGGAACTAACACAGTAGAGTCTCTCTGCTAGAACATTTTGAATTGTGAATTTATATTGAAGAATTTATATTGAGTGATATTTGAATTGTGAATATTAAAAATATATTCAACAATTTGTATATTCTTAAATCCACAAAACGTATTATATAGAGCAGCAGCTTGCAAAGTGCCGCCTATGGGCAGCATCCAACTCAAACCTTCAAAATCATTCAACTTCAAAATCCGGCCCATTATTCTGCTTGCAAGAAAAAAACATATTTGATTGCGACTATCAAAATTTTTCAAAAACTTGTAGATAACAGACTCAATCATAGATAATAGATATATGAAGGCACATAAAATTCCATACAAATTTATTATTTGTCAAAACAAAACAATATTTGTCAGTTGAAAATGTCATTTCTTTTTGTAAGTCACTGTCGTTGTGCATATTTGCCCACAACCCACAAAAGTTTGCGTACCGTTGATATAGAGTATTGGCGAATATGTCATCGAAAGTTCTAAATTAAATACATTCTCAGTTCATAACCCTTATAATCCGATATAAAATTGTCATAGTCATAAGCTGAACTTCTTTAAACTCATTTGGTTGTTCATGATTCACTTAATTTAAATTAATGTGAAAAGTTCACTAGTATTATGCTGCAAATTAGTTAAAATTTTGTAAAATTATTCTATTACATAATTTTTTTTTTATTTTAATTTTTCCTATGTTTAAAACTGATTTTATTAAACATAATTTCTATTTTCATTTTTTTCAGGTGAGTTTTCCAAAATACCTTCATTTACTTCATTAAGAAATTCATCCCTAGTAGGCATTATAAAGAAAATTTTGAGTGAATGTAATTTCAAATTTATTGTAAGTATATAAAATATGTATGTATATAGATTTGTGATAAATGATTGATGAATAATATAAATGGAACTATGATTTTAAGCCAAATTCTGAGTTAAACAAGACATGCTGGCCGAATATTTTAATTCTACTCCATTATATATTTAATTACAAGAAACAAGTAAATTGCAGAACAAATTGATTTACAATTGAAACCGTAATTGACGTAAAAGTTACCTTAATAACCTAAATACTACCTCGTATGCCTTAATAAACAATCGATTATGCGGTATAATTTTTTAAATTAATTTATATTTTTAATTAATAAAACTTTCTCCCATCGGCATATATGCAAAATAGATGAGTTAATTTTAAGGGTGTATATAACACTCTTTTGTAATAGTCAGTCGGTAGTTTTAATACTTTTATCTCCATAATCAGAAACATAATTTGCGAAGCCAATCATCCTAAAAACGACGCACTCATTACAAATGTAACGCTTCTTTAGCTATATTAACTCTAATATTCACTACTTACTAACTAAACCTAAAATTATGCACACTTTTGGAGCCAAAAGTTTGCAAATGATGTTTTTGATTATGCCCTCTGATTTTATTAATAACAAAATGCATTTTCAACAAGATTTTGACAAGTAAACTAAAGTTCCTATTTATATAAAATTATAATTTAATTGTACAGGTTAATAGCTGCAGAAAATCTACGGAAAATATTAATTAAAGTACAAATTACAATGAAGACATCAAAAAGAATTATGATTTTTTTCCTTCCCCCTTTAAAATTCAATATATTCAATTATATAATTGTCAATTTTCCCACAACTAAATTTTTTTTTCAAAATTTTTTTTTTATTGTTTTAACTTTAAAATCTATTCAAATAATAATTTTATTCCCATAAAATAAATAAATATTGTGAATAATTAAAAAAACAAAAAACCTACAAGATAATTTTAATAGATGGTTACATTGAACTGTAAATTACTGCGGTTATTATAAGCAATACAAATGCTTTTCAATTGAAATACAATATTTTACATGTAAATTAACTATTATTTATTTAACTATTAAGATAAATTAGTATTCGAAAACAAATATAAAATTTAAATTAAGAAATACTTTAAATCTTGAAGTAAGTACAAAAGTTTTTTTAAAATTCATTTTACGATATTTAACGATATTTAACGATAAGCGAGTGGGCGAACAAGAATTGATGGAAGCTAATGGATTTTTATTAAGTTTTTCCACTGTTCCTGTTAGTTTTTCAATTATAGTTGAAAAACGTTTTTAAAGAAAGAAATTTCATTCTTTTTTTTGCTATTTCAGAAATCTTCTCTATAAAGAATTTCTGATGTTTTACTAAATGAGTTTTTAATTTTAATTTTTTTCCTTCAATTTCCAAATATTTTTGCCTCACTTTAAATTCTTTTCAACAAACTTTTAAATTATTTTTTATTGCTTACCAATTTCATGCCCAATTTACTCCCTGTTATGATCTTCTCCATTTTTTACTTTTTAAAACATCTTTTACTATACACAAAATGTTGTAATTTCCAAAAAGATGATCTCAGCTTTAAGTAATTTTTTTTTTTAAAATTCCAAATCAAATATTAAACTGAAAGAAAAGCACAAAAGTAAAAAAATAACTAAAATATTTAAGTTAAAAAATCTACTCACATTCTATTTTTGTAAAATAGCAGTTAAAAAAAATGAAAATCAGTTATAAATATGTCAATTATATAATTGTTGTTATTACTAATTTGGTCTATGATTGAATAATAATTTAATTTATAATAAAATGTTTATGGCAACTATAGGATGCAATATATTTATTCAATACATTTTAAATATACATACAAATATTTCATTATTTTATAACATCACATGTAATTACATATGGGTTATGAGTGAGATTTAGAGAATTTTTTCAATTCAAAAAATAATTAGCAATAAATTTTATGAGATCCGGCGAATTTAATTGGTTTAATATATAAGAAAAATTAAAATTTACTGCGTTGAAAATATGAATAATTTTAAAATTTTAAATTTTTATTAATTTTAGGATTTTTAAATAATTTATGAAATTATTGACGTTTGCGTGTTTTTAATTGAATTTAATCTATGGTGAGTGAACGATTAATTGAATGTGATTAAATGAAGTAAATGTTATTAGAAATGAATTGGTCTTTAAAAATTAATAAAGGTTTTTAAATCATTTGGTGTAGAACATGCACAAATAAATGTTGTTTCTATGAACCTAGCATGATATATTTTACGCTTCTCTGAAATAATTCGGAGTAGATCATAAATTGAATGTTGTTTGGTCTGAAAATCCTGTTACTTAGAAATATAAACTAACTAAACTTATAAATTTAAAATAATTGGATAATTAAGGTTTATTTTTGTAGTGGAAATATGAGGTAGTCCACCAGAATAAATTACACTATACTCGATTCAATTACTATATGTACTGTCACAACTTTGTCATTATGTACTGTCACAACTTTGAAACTTTATCTGCTAGTATTGTTAGGAGTTTAACATACATATAGAGCGGTACAGGTTCGCCTTTTTTCTTGGCGGGTGACAAAAAATTCAGTTAGTATTATAATATGTTCGAACACTATATGTGATTCTTTCCTTATTCCATGATATTTCCTGATGTTCATTTATTTTGTTTTCGAATATAATAACTTCTGTCAATATTTTGAGAAAAATGTACGATAGCTGGCTAAACCCCGAATATTAACTCTTCTATAACAAATTTACTGAAGAATCATTAACAAACACCCTCTGTAATTCGTTTTTCTCCTCTTTCCTTTCATAACAAACAGTGTCCGATTTACAGGCACATATGAAAAAAATAAAACTGTATAAAATGCATTTTAAATTATCAAAAATTCAAATGTTAACACTTTTGATATCAATAAAATCTCATTCAATTCAAACAAAAATAATATGGAGACACAGTGTGTATGTGCATATAGCTCGTTTTTTTTTTGTAAATTCAGGTGGGAATAATAAAGAATAACCAATATTGATCGCGGCTTGATGAAATTTTCTTTAAATTTATTCAATTTTTATTTTGTTTCTTTGATGTGTGACATGATTTTTGTATGATAAATATGTGCTTACAAAGGCTACAAACACTTTAATATACTAAAATAATATAAGTAAAATAATAGCTTACCAATATAGTATATTGTGTAGCTGTAGAGAGATGATGATGATTATGCTAACAAATCATTTGTATAATAAAATAATGATAATTCAGAAATCAGAATAATTTTAACAGTTGTTCGAAATTTAAAAATTTTAATATAAAATTTCAAGCATACTGGAGAAGATGCTGGGGAAGAGGGGCACAAACACCATATAGATTACAAGGCAATTTTATTATGAACTTTTTAAAAAAAAACTAAAAATTATATTGTGTAGGATGACATGAGTTTTTGTTTTTGTTTTTTTTTTCTCATTTACAGCTTTTGTGTAGGTTGCAAATTGCTTTAATACAATGAAAAAAAAAAGTTAAAAGAAGCATCAAAATTGAAATCGAAAGTTTTTTTTTGGTCTTTCACAAATTCAAGAAAAAATAAATACAAAATTCATTTTACTTTTAAAAGTTATCGCCATTCGGGGGAGAGATTTTTAATTTACATTTCTCTTCATTTTATACGGAGATTTAAATAAATTAAATAACTGTGAAAAAGAGAAAACAAAAAAAAAATTTCTTGTTGTATGCTTTTGTTTTTCGGGGAAATTCCGGTTGCACATTTTAAAAAATTAAAAAATTGTTTTTTCAACTTTATTTTTGTGGTTTTTAAATTAATAAATGTAGTTTTAAATTGGAAATTAAGGAAGAAAAAACTCAAGCTTTGTTTTTGTGAATGAATTTTAATATTTTATTTTTTTAATTGAAAATTATCAAAATTAGGCCAGAATATTGATTGTCTGTTTAAAACTAAATTGTCTTTTAATTTCAATTGTGATTTATTTTAATATATGAAAGCGTGCCTTGCAGAATTGTGACGGGTAAGTGTTCCTTAATATTGTTGTTCTTTCAAAAATTTTCATTTATGCTCAAAATATTTAAGTTAGAAATTACTATTTGACTGAATTTCTTGAAATTTAGCATTCTTAAAATTTGAAAGAAGTTTTTACGTTAAACCAGAAAATACACTTTGCGATCGGTTACGTACTGACCGCATCAGGTTTATAACCCTATATTAGTCCAATAAAATAATTATTTTAAAAAAAATTTTTGCATAATAAGCTTAAAATTTAAGGGTGGCTACCCATAATACCATTATTTTCGAAATTTAAAATTATGTACTATTTTTAATTCAACAACTGACAAAGCATAAAATTAAATTAGTTTTTCACAGCAGAGTTTATTATTTTTTTACAAAGTACAAGTTCTAAATTTTGAATTTTAATTGATAGTTCGCATATTTTCATAAAAGAATCTGGCAAGCCACAATTTTCTTAGTGAAGTAAAATTGAAAGCAGTTTGTTAAAATTCGTTATTAATTTTAATAGCCGAAAAATTTTTTAAATTTTGATTGCTCAAGCAAATTGGTGAAAATTTTATATAATTTTTATTTAAAAAACTGTAACTTTGTTGAATGCAATTGTTTACGCTGTATTTGATATTTTTCAAGTTTGCCTTTTTTGATTTAATTAAAATTGTTCATAATTATTACGAGGGTCACTATTTATATTTCGGGTCTAGCAATAAAAAACAAACATTTATCATTGGAAATGGTTTTATTGTTTTTCAAAATATTCCCCATGAAGATCAATACACTTTTGCATGCGCTGAAACCAATTTTCGTAGCACTTTTTCCACTCCGATTGAGACACCTCCAAAACATGGTTTTTGAACGCATCGACTGCTTCTTCAGGTGTTGAAAATCGTTGTCCACGCATTTTTTTTTGATGTGAGGGAATAAGAAGAAGTCATTGGGTGCTAAATCAGGACTGTACGGCGGATGACCCATCAATTCGAC